GGGCACCGTTTACCTCCAACTTCCACAGATCCACAGCTTATCTTTTCAGCATGGACCAGCGTTCGCTTCAGAATCCAGTTGGCTTTGCTGTGGCCGTTCGTACGCAGCAGAGCAGCAGAATACTGTGGAAGAGACGAGTGATGTTCGCTTCATTCCTGGCACACTTACTAAGACCACGGGGCAAACGCAAGCACGGAAATCTGGCTAGCATCGTCCCCCCCGCTCGCTGGACCAACTGTACCCGCGACGCCCCGTGCCAGGGTGGCATAAGCCCGCGGGAGGATGAGAGATAAGCAGATGCTTCCTCTTGCCTCCTGATGCCAACCCAGAGATCAGCGCTCAGAGATAAGCCACAGTGACTCGAGTGTGTCTAAGCTCTCAAAACACCTCCTCTGGATTGGGCTCAACAGGAGGTGGCAGTAATAGCAGCGCCACGGGCACAGAGATCTCACTGTGAGTGGGGTTTGTTCTCTATGAGGGTATGAGGAGCTTCCAAAGACTCTAGAAACAGGAACAAATATAGCAGCGTTAGGAGCCACAGAACCTGTGTGTGCGTGTGTGTGTGTGCGTGCGTGTGTGTGTGTGTGTGCGTGTGTGTGTGTGTGTGTGTGTGTGTGTGTGTGGGCACAATGGAGAGGAAGAGAGAGCCTACCAGAGTCCTTCTGTTACAATTTATCACATCCAGTGATTTTTAAAGGAATAGCTCACCCAAAAATGAAATCTCTGGTCATTTACTCACCTTCATGTCATTCTAAAACCTGCATGACTTTCTTCTGCTGATCGATATTTTGAAGGAAGTCCAAAAAAATGGTTTATTGTATTGTCATACAAGTTTGGAATGACATGAGGGTGAATAAATGATTGTCATTTCTCTTTAAAGTGCGTATCTGTGAAAGCTAATCCATCCACTTTATTTTTCTCATCCATCTGAAATAAAAAGTGAAATGATTTAAAAACTTTTGATTATGTCAAAACCTGTCTTTAGTCTCTGGCTTTCTGGTTTCAATTATTTTTTGTTTCTAACCACAATTTATTCAAATTAACTTTAGAAATGAACTGAAATTCTCACCCATTTGAATTGAGAATGTCCTTTACATTTTAATTCAGTTCTAGCCTGGCTAACGTCAGACCACGTCTCATTGACATTGATGACAAATGACCACATGGTCATTTTCTCGTATTTGAGGCGTGGTTTACTAATGACCAGAGCCGTTTATTGGGTGCTACGAATGTTTATCAAATGCGCCTGTACGTAGCTCATAGCCAATCGTTTCAATTATACCAGATGACGTATAGTAGAGCGACAGAAATTAGACGAGGAAGAAGACGATGGCTCAGAGATTTATGTGTACACGATGGCGTATGTATCCAAGGCTGCATCGAAAGGTAACATTCGTCTGCTGTCTGCTGCCATGTTTGATCCATAGGTAAACAAACTGCTTCGGTGTGTCGCATAGACGTCGTCATCGTCTTGCTGCTCCCTCCCCGTTCTGTGATTGGTCCCCTCGCTGAGGTGAAAATTTGGTCCATGGTATCCAGACCGCCTAGCAGCGTGAATAAAATCGCGCTGCGCAAAGGCAGTATGGGGAAACCCAGGCTAATTCAGTTCAAACTCACATTAAAAATGATGCTGGTGGCTTGAGCTGTCCATCTCTTCCGGTCTTCTTCAGAATAAGTCTCTGACCACACGTTGTGCAAATACAGTCTGGCTACTTGAGATTAGATTCATCAAACCTGAAGCTGCTTCAGATCTCAGAGGGATTTTTCACCACTCATGTCTTAATTAATGCAATTATATAGATGTGAAGCTCCAAAACGAGCACCTGCTGTGATGTTAAACTCAGTTACGCTTTGATCTATGAAAGCTCTCTGCACAGACTAATGTGCAGTAATGGAACAAATATCCATCTTTAATTGTTCGATTCCAGACTCTTATTTGTATAAGGTGCTGAAGGTGGAACAAATCTGACAAATACGTTTCTTACTTTCTGTCTCTCTTTCTACTTCTGGATGAGATCTGTTTTTCTCATCTGGTCACCAAGACCAGGTTCTTCAAGACACCTCTTTATGAGCACATAATCGAGCGTTTATCATGGGTGCAGTCCAGGTCACACACACAGGACACAGTCCAGCTAAAACACTCGTGCAGATGAACTGATACACACCAGAGAATGCTGGGATTGAGTTGGCCGCTACGCAAACCATCTGCCTCCTGAGAAAATGTAACATGGCCTGCAAATGTGTGATTTACTTCCCTAGAATTAAACAAGACAACTGCTATTACAGACTCAAAAACTGCTGCAAGCCAATTCTGTGGAATCCCACACATTAAATGTCTCTGCTACCTGACGGATACCACTGAGATTGGTCCCGTGAGAAATCACACCAGTTTCTATAACAGCACTGACACTGAGCCAGTCAGAAACGCCCAGTGCCTGTCAATCATGCGGTGCATGTTCATTTCTGACCCCATTTACCCTCTTTTTGTCACTCTTTGCTATTTCTGTCTAATAAAAAGTCAGAAGTTCAACAATAAAGTTAGGCGTTATCTATACGTTTGTGTTTGTTTCACACGTGTGCTTGAAGATGCATGACGTTTATTTGCTGATTTAGAAGCTTAATTCTTTTGTCTTTCATTTTTACCAGCTTTTTCTAAGTCAGTGATATGACAATTTTATAATATAATATAATTAATATAATATAATAGGGCTGGGCAACGATTAATCGCATCCAAAATAAAAGTTTGTGTTTACATAATATATGTGTGTGTAGTGTGTGTATAATTATTTTGTATAAATACACACACATGCATGTATATATTTAAGAAATATTTGCATGTATATACTTTATTTACATAATTCATATTATATATAAATATAAATATTTGATATATTAATAACACATTTTTTTTTAAATATATACATGCATGTGTGTGTATTTATATATACAAAATAATTCTACACACTACACACACATATATTATGTAAACACAAACTTTTATTTTGGATGTGATTAATTCGCGATTAATCGTTGCCCAGCCCTAAATATAATATAATATAATATAATATAATATAATATAATATAATATAATATAATATAATATAATATAATATAATATAATATAATATAATATAATATAATATAATATAATATAATATAATATAATATAATATAATTAATATAATGTAATATAAAGAATCCCTGCTACCTTACAGAGGATAAACGGTTTAGAAAATGGATTGAAGTAAAATAATATAATATAATATAATATACTATATTATATTATAATATATAATATAATATAATATAATATAATATAATATAATATAATATAATATAATATAATATAATATAATATAATATAATATAATATAATATAATATAATATAATATAATATAATTTCACAACTTAGAATAACATGTTTATTTATTCCACCAAAATTTCGGCCATTAACAGTTGTATTTTATATACAACATCCAGTATATATATATATATATAGCCCACGACTGCACATATTTACTCTGATCAGTAAATATGTGCTTCAAAACATGCGTAACGCAATTTATTCCTAAAAAAGGTTAACTAAACCCTCTATTGTTTCAAGAATTTAATCAGTATGAACTAAAATTGTCTCCATGTTTTGTACGGATGCATTTAATTTCATGTGTTTCGAGTTCAGAACATCTGCCCATAAAACCAGGCGTCCCGTATAACAGCACAACAGATGACAATAAATCAGCACCAAGTTGCACAAGCTCTGATGTTTTTATGAAATAACTATCAGACATGTACTAGTGGGGTCAATTGGAAGCATGTGGCTAAAGGCTAATGCCGTCCCGCCAGGTGGGGTGTTGAAGTCTGCTGTTGTGCAGATGACCAAATCAGCTCATTATAGAGTAATGAGGCAGAAATACAGCTAACCTCTAACAGAATCGTCATATGCTGGAGGCCGGATGAAGGTGACATGAGATTCTAGGTAAAACGGAATAAGAAAATGATTCACGCTCACAACGTCAGCTGACGAGTTACAGGATTTTCTGCTGAACACAAGATATTTTGGGGAACACTGGTGACTCTCATGCAAAAACATTTTTTATGAAAAAACTTAACAGACATTAATCAGACAGTCTACTAATACTCTAATGAGAGTTAGTTGACATGTAGTTGCAAAGTTACTTATAATTAGTAATGTTCAAAAGGGATCATCAAAATAAAGTGTTACCAAGAATTGTAATTTTTTGGTTCTAGTAAAACCTGACTTACTTCCTTTAGATGAGTTATTGAGCAAGAAAATGTCATTTGAAATATACTTAAAATATTTAAATATTCACCTCTATATGGCACCAAAATATATCCATATGTGCAAGAAATATTAATATTAAAAATAATTCTCCACAATAAAACATCAAAATATATTAATATTTAAAATAAATAAATATATATATATATATATATATATATTTTTTTTTTTAATTAAAATATATTGATTTAATATATATATTTTAACACAAGATGGCACTTAAATATTTAATAATATATAAATAACCTTTTTTTTATTATTATTTTAAATAGGAATAATACAGGGACTGACAATGTGTCCATGGTGTTTCCCCTACCTGCGGCCCGAGACGATGGATAAGCGGTTTGGAGAATGAATGGGTTGATAATAATATATTAAAAGAAATTCATCATTAGATGGCATCATACGATATTGTAAAAAAAAAAATGCACGTTTATATCTCGCAATTAGGACTTTGTAACTCGCAATTGCAAGTTTATATCAAAATTCTGAGAAAAAAAGTCAGAATTGCAGGATTTAAACTAGCAATTCTGAGACAAAAAATCAGAAATGTGGGATATAAACTTGCATTTACCTTTTTAATTCTTTTATTCTGTGGCTTCCATAGAACTGCAGAACAGACACTTTCTGACTCCAGGCTCCGGCCACAGAAAAACCACCATCACTGTTTACAAACTGCAATTTTTTGGTTGCTCTCACCCAGTGGAGGGGGTCATGATACATCCGCCTCGGTCCACAGTCGCTCTGCACCCGCACCCGCGCTCCGGCGTGTCATGATTCATGCCAAAGTTGTGTCCGAGCTCATGGGCCAAAGTAACCGCAGCGCCGAGGGGGTTATCAGAGTGATCCTAAAACACAGAGAGAGCGAGAAAGTAAAAAAAAGTGCGACCTTCTTTCTCACAATTGAGAGTTTACATCTCGCAATTCCAGTGTCGGGGAAAATTACTCTAATGTGTTACAATATTGCGTTACTCCCTAAAAAAGTAACTAATTAGGTTAGTTTTTATGGAAAGTAATGTTATATTGCTTTTGCGCTACTGTTTCTCACTTGGGCTGGACTTGCTTGCTTTTTTTTTTTACTAACAAAAAAAATATATTAGTTCTATTTTTGGCACATGTTAAGGCCCTTTCACACGAAAAGGCCAAATGCAAAAGGAAATGGAAATTCATGCCTGTACATTTCAGCGTTGCTGCCATTCTGGATTGCAGAAGAAAAGGATGCAGGAGAAGAAAGTTCAGCACTTTGGCTACATCCGAAATCGCATACTTCCCTACTATATAGGAGAAAAACAGTATGTGGCAAAATAATTATGTCCGAATTCAGAGTACTCATAAATGAGTAGGAAAAGAAGTACCCGGATGATCTACTTCTTCCGGTGAGATTCTGAAGAGTGCATATGATGGGCACTTTACTATCCCATGAGGCCACGGGAGAGGATTTATGAATGGCAGTGAAGCGACACAACTGATGCCGGTAGGTCACATGATAATAACAACATGGCGAATGTAGTGCGTCCAGATTACATTCATACTACACACACTAATACTATAGGCTATAGAACATACTTTTTTAGCCGTCGTGAATTAATTACTTTTTCAAAATAAGTACCTACGCGATTTCGGACGCAGCCTCTTACTTCAGCAATAAAAACAAAAATAAATAAAACAAATGCGTATTTACTTAGTATGGTTGAATTTGATCATCGAAGGTCAGCAGCAGCAAAGACATTGGTTGATAAAGTGAGATTAAATACATAAAGTAGTTTTGTATTATTTAACATATTTAATTATTGCGTAATAGTCTGAGTTTGCATTTCACTGTTTTTATTCATTTTGAGGAATACTGAATCTGTTTTGGTGTAAGTGAGATGAGTAAATGCTCACATTTAGTCAAGAACTACAATAATCATCATGTTTGCTCTGCGCACACAACGCCTCTGTCAACAGGAGAGCTGTCAGTCAATACATAGGAAACAAAGTAACTTATACATATTTGAAAAAGTAAATCAGATATTTTGTTTTAAATTTATAAGTAATGTTTACTAGTTACTTGATGTTTACTAGGTAATGCTTTACCACCAATGTAGACTTGTTTTACTGAGTTCTCGGTTTACATCTCGAAATTCTGTTTTTCTCTTTCTGCCACAGAATAAAAAAAAAGAAAAAAAAAATTATTGTGACTATCTCACAACTATTAATTTTATCCCTCAGAATTCCAAGTTTATTTATCGCAATTCTGAGTTTATATCTCAAAGTTCTGAGAAAAAAAGTCAGACTAGTGTGATACAGTCACAGTTACCTTTTATTTTTTATTTTTTCCATGGTGGAAACATGCATCAATACTGAAAGTGTCAGGCAAGCAAAAAAATAAAATAAATCCACATCCTTGAAAGCAGCTTGGTGATTTAAAATAAGCAATCAATTTCAATTTAAAACAAACAAGAGCAATTTCTTCCTTTGTGACCCCAGAGAGCCGAAAGGCGTTATCCGTTCTGTTCCACCTTCCCTCCCCAGATTAGATTTATCCCCACATCTCTCCTCCTGCACGTTTGTTTTTCTCTCAGAAAACGGTTTCACATGAGATCAGTAATGAGCAGACAATAACGGCCTTTATAATTACTTTTCCACAAATCCGTCAGAGCAGCATAACTCAAGATCCGTGCGCTGCTGTAATTGCTCGAGCGCTGCCAGAACACAACCAAACCGTTCTGTTTGGGGAAGGGTGTGTGTGTGCTGATGAGGCAGGACAGACACAATTACAGTCATTCCTGTAAGTCGCTTTGGTAAGGACGCGTCTGCCAAACACATGAAAATCAAATTAAAATGAAGAAAATCACCAGCTTTAGTTCAGTTCTGAGCGTCTGAGTGATTATTCGTGTCAGGTGGTTTGTGCCGAAAAAAGTTGAGCAGAGGAAAGTTTTAATGCCCAGAAGATGCTCTTTCAGAGCTTATGATTTAAGAAAGAAAAAAATACTCGAACCAAATTATTTTAAAAAGTTTAGGGTCAAGAAGAAGTTTTAAGAAATTAATACTTTTATTCATCGAGGGTGCATTAAATCAATCAAAAGTGCGAGTAAACATTTATCATGATTTCTATTTCAAATAAATAATGTTCTTATGAACTTTCTATTTCGAGATTTCCACAAAAACGTGACGCATCACAACTGATTTCAACACTGATGATGATAAATATTTCTTGAGCAGCAAATCATCATATTATACAGATTTCTGAAGGATCATGTGACACTGAAGACTGGAGTAATGATGCTGAACATTCAGCTTTGATCACAGGAATAAATTATATTTGAACATATATTCAAAATGAAAACACTTCTTTTAAATTGTTATAATATTTCACAATATTTATGTATTTTTGATCACATAAATGCAGCATTGGTGAGCAAAAGAGACTTCTTTCAAAAATATCAAATCTTACTGACCACAAACTTTTGAACGGTCGAGATATGTTGCATATGAGGTTTACATTTTATTAAAAAAAAAAACTGGCTACAGACAATAAACTTTTTCTTCCAGCCAGCTTTCCAAGCATTTAATAAGCGTATCAGGCGAAAATGCTGATGTTTATAAATCTGCCACGTTTTATAATGAGCTTAATTTGCATAGAAAGAATGCATGCTTGTCAAGAAAAGTATGACAATGACTTCTATTTAAATATGAATGATGCAATGCTGCACCAGTGAATACACAATAGATGAAGTTTGATGGAGCGTTATGATGGAGGACAGGAGTGTGTAAAGTCCTTTTAGCGAATGTGAAAAGAACCAGATCAGTTTGAAACCAAGCGGGAATACAGCAAATTGGATTTGCAAAAGCCTCATTGGTTAAAGGATGCTTTTATCCGAATGCACTGTGGCAAAAGTTACAATTTTCTCACTCTAGAGGAGACAAATTCAAGATTACTAGCATGTTTTTTTGCAGAAGAAAAATCAGAGAAGCAGGAGACTCAAGGAAAAAGTCTCCATTTGCACTCTCATTTCTCTTCTTTTGATAACATTTGTGAATTTTATTTACAATGGATGTGTGACTGGAGAATTCTCAGCTGAACATAATCATCTCGTTTACCATCAAATGCATTTTCAGGAAGCTTAAGTCCTATTATCACTCATGAGAAATGGTCAAATGAGGACAAAACCTCTCGTAACACAATGTCGAGATCGTGCCATGCTTCTGTGAAATGTTGAGGCTTTTATAGTAGCAACTCCACTAAATCAAACAGCAAAAACAGAAGTCTATCATGCAAACAGTCTGCAAGAGGCGGCCAAAGGGAATAAAATGCCTCCGACGAATGAGTCAATGAAGAAAACATGCATGTCTTTTGTTGTTTCGTCTGTTTTGGTGATCACATGATCCATAATGGAGAAGCTCCACGTAATGGGATCCTCAATCGAAGCACAAATACTGAGATGGTCCAATTTACTCTAACCTTAAAGCCAAAAACACACTCTATGCAAGCAGAACGAAAGCGATTAGTTTGCTTCGAATGCTTGTGTTATTAAACTGGAGGTGTTATTAGTCAGGTATCCAGCCATAAATAAGCCAACAGTTTAATGACTGCAACTTCAAATGATTTGCTGAGCAAGAACACATGCAGCTCTTTCCTCTGACCACAGACGTGTATCTCAGTATCTCAGAGAGCTGCTTTGATTTTGTGTCTCAGTAGAATGTAATCGTCGTGTGCTGTGATCAATGTGTTGGTTTGATTTATGTGGAAGCGCCTCTAGATGTCCATGCTGAGTGAGTTAGTGTCCTCATCTGAACTACCTGATGCTTGCAGTGCGACTAAAATACATAAAACAGAGATATGATGTGACAAAATGAAGTTTCTGTCATGATTCTGCCATCATGCTCTTGATTTTCCTAGGCTTGTGGCAGGATCATGGCAGAACCATGTTTTGTGTACAAGCGCATGGCCTGTTGTTTGGGCCATGTGCTTGTGTTGTCTCATTACGTAACCTTGTTATCCTCATCTTGTCTTTATTGTCTAGTCAGTTTCACCTGTTCTGTTCGTGTCATTAGTGTCTCCCTATTATCCCCTTGTGTTTGCTGTCCTTTATCGGTTCATTGTCAAAACTGTGTCAAGATCCATGTCAAACTTTCTGTGAATCTTGTCTATCGTATCAAGCTGTGAGTACCTGTTAACCGTCTTGTTTTGTAAAGGTGTTTTATTAGTTTAACCTGTCTTGTTTTGCCCCATCTTGGGTTTTGTTTTCTGTTTTGTCATCAATAAACTCAAAAATAATGATTTATTTAAATGATTTAAAAAGAGTTATTTGCTGTCTGCGCTTGGGTTCGTTCCTCCAACCACGTGACAGTTTCTTTGGTTTCAAATTAAGCAACTCTGTTATATATATATATATATATTATTGAAGCTGACAACATTTTAAATACTCAAAAATATAAGTGAACCACATCTACTCCAAAAAAATGCTGGGTTGTTTCAACCCATGTTTGGTTAAAATATGGATGCTGGTTTCAATTTTTGAATTAATTTTTTAACTCAACGGTTGGGTTTGTCCATATTTGACCCAAACATGAGTTGAAACAACCCAGCGTCTTTTAGAATGCTAACATTCTAAAATGATCATTCATCAGGAATGATTGACAGATGTCACTCACCATGACGATTCCCCCTGACTGCTCCACAGTGCACATGCTCATAATGGGAGCCATGCCGATGGTGGTGCCCTGAAAATAAACCCCACTGAGGAGGGAAAACAGGAAGTCATGTGACACAGATGTTCATCTACAGCATCATACATCAGCCTGGGAACATTTTCGAAAGAAATGAGGTGTAAAGAAAGAAAGAAAGAAACCTCATGTAGTTTTCAACATTTCAAAATAAGAAATGGCGAAACAATTTCCTGGAAGCAAAAGTGCATTGATTGTAGTGGTAAACCGCATGTGGTGTTTTCCCCCTGCCGGCTCTCAGCGGTTACCTGATCAGCTGAGCGTTATCGTGAGGTCTCTGCGGGAGCAGCTTGAGTTTTCTCCAGTCCAGGAACTCGTGGAGCGATGTAAACGGATCCTGTGTGATGGAGCATTTGTCTCCGTCACTCCACACCTCCAGCCCCACCAGAGCCACACGGATATTCAGTGATCTGTAAAACTGAAACACGGCAGCGCTAACATTAGCTAATCAGGTTAAACCAGAACAGCAATGATGTTTCAAGGGACTAAAACCCAACAAAATCTGGCTTTAGATACACAAGTAGATACACAAATATGAACATTTGTATAATTACAAAGATTAGAAATTCCCTGCCTTGTTTACTCCCTATTTATTCTCCTTGTGATAGATAGATAGATCCCGAGGGAAATTCAAGTATCCAGTAGCATACGAAACATACATGCATTAAACATACATAAAACCTATTTTAAAATAAATTAAAAATAATAAAATTAACTTATAACACAGTAAGACTGTTTGCAGTCCTGTGCTAGATCGTCGACAACTCAAGTCAAGTCAAGCTATTCTGCTGGTCATGGTTTCCCCCTCGGGGTAGTTTTAGTTTGGTTTTGTTTTATTTTTATTATTAAAGGGGTCATATAATGCCATTTTTGTACAAGCTAATATGATTCTTTAGGGTCTAAATTAAAAGTTTGTAATATACTTTAATTAAAAATTCTCATTAGTATTGTAAGAAAACACTTATTTTACCTGGTCAAAAACAGCTCTGTTTTCAGCACGCCGTTTCAGTGCATATGCCTTTAAATGATAATGAGCTTTGCTCACCCCGCCTCTCTGTTCTGTGCATATACACCATTTGTAACTCAATAACACAATAACGTACTCGGTTACTAACGTAACCTCGGTTCTCTCTAGAGAGGGAACGAGTACTGCGTAATAGCTTTACGCTAGGGGAAAAACTCTTTTCCGCGAGATATTGAAGCCAAAAATTATCCTTTAATTTTTTATTAATGCAAAACGCTTTGCAGCAGCAAGCAAACATAGGCGAAACAGCTCGCGCGCCTATTGGTTGCTCTGCAGCAAATGCAGCAGCCTATCGAGAGAGACTCTGCGTGACGTAATGACCAATGGGGGCAATTCGCGCCCATATCGTCACGTCCCGCCAGAAGGGGCGTGGTCTCGCCCTATAAATATGCTCGTTAGGCTGATACAAGCTGGTTTTTATCGCTGAAGCGAACCAGAGCGTATTCCACGCACGGCAAGATACGCAGTACTCGTTCCCTCTCTAGAGAGAACCGAGGTTACGTTAGTAACCGAGTACGTTCTCTTACGAGAGTATCTCTCGTACTGCGTAATAGCTTTACGCTAGGGGAACACAATGCAACACGCCGTGCGTAAAGGGATCCAACACCAAAGTCCCAGGGGCCGAAGCCCAGGGCTCATGTAGTGCATAATCACCATAAACTCACATAGAGTAAAGGAAGAGAGGCTGGAAGTGTCATTCCCTATAAAAAAGCACCCAGCGGGGCTATTATATGACCATCAAACGCGCAGCCAGGGTGAAAGCATTCAGCCTGATCTGGGCGGCCATACGTGAGTCAACACTCATGGGGCTGCAGTAAACTCAGCATCTGGGCCGCAGAGCGGGGCAAATAGCACTGAATTCTAGACCGCCAAAAGCTTAGCTTGTAAGGCGGGTACCTCCAGGTTATAGTATTTTATAAATGTAGACGGCGAGGCCCAGCCCGCGGCCGTACAGATATCTTGCAGGGAAACCCCGCTAGACCATGCCCACGAAGAGGCCACGCCTCTCGTGGAATGCGCCCTGACACCCAAGGGGCACTGTAAGCCCTTCGCAGAGTAAGCGAGCGCGATGGCATCCACTATCCATCTGGATAGGCTCTGTTTTGAGGCGGCAAGTCCCTTGGAACGCCCGCCGAACAAAACAAAAAGCTGCTCCGTCTGTCTGAAAACAGACGAGCGTGCCACATAAGCTCTCAATGCCCTGACGGGGCAGAAGAGACTTGCATCCTCCTCCTCACTGAGAACCGGAAGGGCAGACAGGGAAATGACCTGGGCGCTGAACGGCGTGTTGAGGGATTTCGGGACATACCCGTGTTTCGGTTTGAGAATGACCTTTGAGTCATTAGGCCCAAACTCCATACACGACGCGCTTACTGAAAGCGCCTGTAGGTCCCCTATGCGCTTCACTGAAGCGAGAGCCATGAGAAACACTGTCTTGAACGACAGGTGTTTCATGTCCACCAGCTGGATTGGCTCGAACGGGGCGCCTTTCATGGCCTCCAAGACCGTGGAAAGGTCCCACGTCGGGACTGAAGGGGGCCTTGGAGGGTTCAGCCTCCGAGCTCCCCTAAGGAAACGCACGACTAAGTCGTTTTTCCCAAGCGACTGGCCAGACACCGGTTTTGCAAACGTTGCTATGGCCGCCACATATACTTTGAGCGTGGATGGGGTCCTGCCCTTATCCAGTAGCTCTTGAAGGAAGGAAAGCACTTCCGCAACCCCGCACTCCACAGGTGAAAGGCTCTGGGCCTGACACCATGTAGAGAAAACAGACCATTTCGAGGAGTAGAGCCGCCTGGTAGACGGAGCTCTAGCCTGCGCGATCGTGTTTAGCACTCCCTCTGGGAGGCTAGCGGGTACCCGTTGATGGCCCATGCGTGCAGGGACCATAACTCCGGGCGAGGGTGCCAGATCGAGCCCTCCGCCTGAGAGAGGAGGTCTCTCCTCAATGGTACAGGCCATGGGGCAGTGCTGGTCAGCTGCATCAGGGCAGGGAACCACGTCTGGTTCGTCCAGAGCGGGGCTACAAGCAGCACTGGGCATCCGTTTTCCCTGATTCGTTCCAACACCTGAGGCAGGAGCGAGACAGGAGGAAAAGCATACAGGGGGCAGCGGGGCCAAACATGAGCCAGCGCGTCCTTGCTTTTCGAGAAAAACTCCGGGCAATGAGCGTTTTCTTGGGACGCGAATAGGTCCACCTGAGCTCTGCCGAACGTTTTCCACAGCAGCTGGACCGTCTGCGGGTGCAGCGACCATTCCCCTGCTGGAACGTTGTTCCTGGACAGTCTGTCTGGTCCCACGTTCAGGTGACCAGGCACGTGCGCCGCTCTCAGTGAGAGCAGGTTGTGCTGAGCCCAAACCAGGAGGCGTTCCGTCAACCTGTAAAGGTTTCGTGACCTGACGCCGCCCTGGCGATTTATGTATGCCACCACCGACATGTTGTCCGACCGGACCAAGACGTGGTGGCCTGTTATCTGGGGACAAAAACGCCGTAGCGCTTTGTCGACTGCTATCATCTCCAAGCAGTTTATGCGAAGGAGCTTTTCCCGTTCTGACCACAGGCCAGCTAGCGGTCTGCCCTCGAGCAGCGCTCCCCACCCCGAGGTGGAGGCGTCCGTAGACACCACCCTCACGCTCGAAGCGGTCCCCAGACTTACACCTGACTGATACCAGTCGGTTTCTCTCCAAGGTTTCAGAGCTGAAACGCACTGAAGGTCGACCCTGAGGCGAAACAGACCCGCTGTCCATGCCCTGGGTGGAACCCGCGTCTTCAGCCACATCTGCAGTGGGCGCATGCGGAGCAGGCCCAACTGGAGTACAGAGGCTGCTGAGGCCATCAGCCCCAGCATTTTCTGAAACCTTTTGAGCGGGACTATCGCGCCGTGGCGGAAGGATTTCACGCCGCGCTGAATATTTAGCACGCGCTCTGGTGACAGGCGTGCTGTCATGGACAGCGAGTCCAACACGGTTCCCAGAAAGGAAATTTTCTGACTGGGAGACAGTGAGCTCTTCGCCCAATTGACTGTGAGGCCCAGCTTCTCGAGGTGCTCGAGCAATGCGGCCCTGTGTTCTATGAGCTCCGATCGTGATCGAGCTAGAATCAGCCAATCGTCCAAGTAGTTCAGAACTCGCATGCCCTGAAGTCTCAGGGGCGCGAGCGCCGCGTCCATGCACTTCGTAAATGTACGAGGCGCTAGGGACAGGCCGAACGGCAGGACTGTGTATTGATATGCCTGGCCCTCGAAGGCGAATCTCAAAAATCGCCTGTGATGGGACGCTATTTGTATTTGGAAATAGGCGTCTTTCAGATCTATCGACATAAACCAGTCCCCGAAGCGCACCTGCGCGAGGATTTTCCTGGTCGTAAGCATTCTGAACTGGCGCTTCACAAGCACTCTGTTCAGCTGCCGCAGATCTAAAATGGGTCTGAGACCCCCATCCTTTTTCGGTACCAGAAAATATCTGCTGTATAGGCCCCCTTCGCTCTGAGCCTGAGATAAAGGTTCTATAGCCCCTTTGCTCAGTAGTTTCGCTATTTCGGCACGAAGTAGATGAGATACTTCGTTTTTCACCGTAGTTTCGACGCGCGCCGTATAACGGCGCGGGCGTCGAGCGAATTGTAGCGAATAGCCTCTCTTTATAGTGTTCAGCACCCATTCTGAAACCCCGGGAAGCTTTGACCACGCATCTGCGTGAATAGCTAGAGGCAGAATGAAATCCGGGCTCTGGCCGCGACAAAACGGCAGCTCGAGAGCCTGGGCATACTGGGAACACAACACCGTGTTTACAGCGTTCGAGGCGGGGGGCGCGCTGATCACAGCGGGCGACCTGGCCGCGCTCAGCTTTTTTATGGCAGATTGTGCAGAAAAAGCGAGCGGGGGAGATCCCGTGGGAATCGGCGTGTCTGTGAGAAAATGTGGGCGCGGGGCTGCGGGCACATTTAATACACTGAAAACACTGTCGTTCATGGCCGACTGAATGTGTGTTGGTTTCGTTTTTACAGAAACCATGGGACACGCAGCATGTAGTGTGAGCGGGCATGGTGACATGGGCGCGTTCACTACATTGTTTGCACAATCGACCTGAGTCGAGTTTATTTGTGCTAGCCCTGCACCGTGGCGGGCTGTGTCTGGGTGTGGGAATGGGCACTGGGTGGACATTCTTACAACACTCATAACACCATCGGCCGTGGCCGGATTGTTTGTGCGAGCCCTGCATTTTTGCGGGCTGTGTTTGTGTGTAGAAATGAGCCCTGGGTTGTAGGCATTTTCAATACACTCATAACACCATCGGCTGTGGCCGGAATATCAGAAAATACACCATTTATGTGATTTATCTGGGTCGCCGTGGGAACAGCATTAGTGTGCAGGCAAGCGGGCATGGTACTGGCTTGCTTACTGCAAAATACACTGGAACAGTCACATTTTCTGGAACTGAACGAGCGAAAATTTCAGTGGAAGTCTGGCCACGGCGAGACTGAAACACCGTCAATTTCCTAGGAGGCTAGGAAGACTTGTGTTGGTTTCGTTTTACAGAAACCGTGGTAGTGTATGTGGGCACTGGGTTGTGGGCACATTCACTACATTTAATGCACAATTGTGCGAGCCCTGTACCGTGGCGGGCTGTGTTTGTGTGTAGAAATGAACACTGGGCTGTGAGCATTTTATTACACTTATAACACCATCGGCTGTGGCCGGAAAACCAGAAATACAATGATTTTTCTGGGTCGCCATGGAAACGGCCTTTATGTGCAGGCAAGCGGGCCGTGGTACCAGCTTGTTTACTGCAAAATACACTGGAACAGTCGCATTATCTGGAACTGAACGAGCGAAAAGTTTCGGTGGAAGTCTGGCCGCGGCGAGACTAAATTTTTTTTTTTTTTTTTTTTTTTATCTGCTGCGAGAGCCGGGATCGAACACGGGTCTCCCGCGTGAAAGCTTCAGGTTCCGCCACTGGGCCACAGGGAGAACTACACTAGCGCAAGCAGATAAGAGACCGTCATCACAGTTTTGTGTGTGTCGGCGTTTGTATGCAGGTGTGCGTGTTATACAACAGGCTCATTGCTGCAATAATGACATTTTCAGCCGCTCAAACTAGGAGCTGAGAAATGTTTGAGAAATGGAGATTAATCCGGCCTCGGCGGGGACTAAAACACACTCTTTTCTCATTTGCCGGTGACGCACGCCCATGGGGGGCGGGGTAGAATGCTGGCCCGTTTCCTTGACGACTCGCGGACAGAAGGCTGAGGTCCACAGAGCTCGCCTGTTGCGCGGCGGTTGCGCGGGCGCCTCCCAATCGAGGCCGATGCTTTCAACGGCCTGAGAGAGCAGACGCATCAGCTCAGTCTCAATGCCGGCTCTCTTACCAGTGGTCTGGCGGGAAACGCTAGCGGAGGGGAGATCCACAGAGCTCGCCCAATCCTCACTATCGGACGCCAGAAGAGAACACGCCTCGGAGGGTTCGTCAGGCTCGTGGATGGACGCGGCGGCAGGCGGCGGCCGTTGTCCGTCAGTGAGCGACTCGAGCGAAGCCGGCGAAGCAGGCGGGCGAACCGGCGAGCTTTGGCGGGCTGGAGATAGCTCGGGAGCGCGCTGGGCGCGGCGCTTTTTACGGCGCGGCGTCACGGCGGGCTGTGGTGAAGGCTCGGAGAATGATGCCAGGCGCGTCCTCAGAGTCACCATGGGCAAAAGCTCGCAATGAGGGCATCCGCCGTCAGCGAGCGCGATAGCCGCGTGATCCTCACCCAGACAGGAAACACAGATGACGTGTCGATCTCCATCGCTGAGCGGGGCGCGGCACGAGCCACAGGAAGGCATCTTTAAAAAGACGCTGCTCTTTTTGTGAGAGAAGTGTAAGTCGCGTCAAGTAAGCGAACAAACACTTCTCAACAGAGAAATACACACAGAGTATTTGAAAGGATATAGAACGCCGGAAAGCGCAGCAGGTACGGCAGTTGAAGGCGGCGAGGCCAGCGACTCCAGAGCTCGTCCCGCTGAAAGGCTTGCTTCGACGGCGCGGCTTCTCACTCCGGATCCAGCGATGCGTGTGCTTCGCTGAAGAGGTAAAAATCAGCTTGTATCAGCCTAACGAGCATATTTATAGGGCGAGACCACGCCCCTTCTGGCGGGACGTGACGATATGGGCGCGAATTGCCCCCATTGGTCATTACGTCACGCAGAGTCTCTCTCGATAGGCTGCTGCATTTGCTGCAGAGCAACCAATAGGCGCGCGAGCTGTTTCGCCTATGTTTGCTTGCTGCTGCAAAGCGTTTTGCATTAATAAAAAATTAAAGGATAATTTTTGGCTTCAATATCTCGCGGAAAAGAGTTTTTCCCCTAGCGTAAAGCTATTACGCAGTACGAGAGATACTCTCGTAAGAGAACCATAACGCGTTGTTCAGTATAAACGTGGGATTATGAATTATATTGAGTATAACCGCGCAGACTATGATTGACAGCTCCCTCATGAGCGAGGGCGGGTCTGTGTTGAAACGTTGCTGTCAATCAACAATCGTGGGAGGGGCTTCCGAGCGTGTAACGTCACAAGGTCGAACGGCTTGATTTGAGGCAGGGGAAAACATATAAGGAGATTAAAACAAAACCACTGGATGGATTTTTATCATTATATGAGGGTTGTGTACAGACACTGCCAACACACATTTCAGTACAATCAACTTGTAAAAGTGCATGTACCATTATATGACCCCTTTAATAAAAAGCCTGTTACTCTGCAGTCCTTTGCAGTGTGTGTGTGTGTGTTTTAGAAATTGATCTCTAATGTGGTGGTATTAATTTTTAATTTCCAATTTTACCTTGTCCACATAGTTGGCTATTTCAGCAAGCCTCTGTTTCACTTTCTCCACGTCTTTCCCCTGTTTCTGATACTGAAATGCAAAGGAAAACAAGAAAGTCTTTAAACTGCAGCCAAATGTGTCATTCATTGGCCGACTGTGGTAAATGTCACATGAGGTAATCCATTTTCCACGGGCAGCGGCACACAGATGTTGAGCCAAACATGACCAGAAGTGTTTGATGTCCAGATTGTCAGTCGGTGGATGTAAAAACGGCATTTCAAAATAAAAGCTCAGATTGGAAATGTGTCACTCATGATTGCTGCCTCTGGGTGTTGTAGGATGAGTGAATATAATCAGGAAGGAAGCTTTGATTGCCAAGACAATAAGAAATGCACTACTTCTAACTCTTTCCTTAACATCTTCCTGGTTTCAACAGGTAGGCCTACATCTCAACAAACCAAATGATCAGGTTTTGTTCTTTTCCTTAAAATATCACGTGACAGGATATTTGAAAGGCCCCTCAATGACAGAAAAAAGTTATTTTGGGAAAAAAGCATTTCTTAAAGCACATTAAAAACACTGTTTAACAGGCAAACTACAAAGAGGTCAAGTGATCACAGCTGGGCGTCCTCACTTACAGCGCAAACAAACAATCTAATCTGCTTTAACCTTTGACCTCTCATCTCCCTGACTCCCTGAACTCGAAGGGGTCATGACCTTGTATTTACATAGAGGTCAGGATGTATGGAGCCGCAATGACGTAGTTCAGCTGGTTTTGCTTATTTTAATATAACTATTAAAAACATTTTGTTAATAGAAATTAAGCTGACAAAACAAAATAAACATTAGATGAAAAACTTCAACTAAATGAAAATAAGCAGATATGTAACTTACTGAAAGTTGAAGTACTAAAATTACTAACTGAAATAAAACTAAACATGAAATTAAAATGAATTAAAACAATTTGGAATTATTTGTAAAAACTACAAAAGCACATTTAAAAAATGACTATAAATTAAAGATTTGAAAATATATTTTTTAAAAGCTCATTTAAAATATAAATAATACCTATAATAGTAATAAATGATACTAAAATAACACTTCAATTGGACATCAAGTGGTGTCCAAAACACAACACCCAAAAGGTTGCAATATTATTTATATTATTTTTTGAGATTTATGAATATTACCATGAATTTCCATGTTGATTATTTGTTGTGACGTGTTCAGATTCCCAACAGGATTTTCTTAGTCTGAGTGTTTAGTTTCCCAATGCTTCTTGTAAATTGCTGGTATACGCCAATAATTCAGCGTATAAAACACTGTGTTGATCTGTATTTCATTTTTTCTTTTAAACGCATTTAGTTTGTTCTGGTTTTTGAGGACGAGGGCGTGTCATGATGTGTTGACATCTGCATAATTCATCTAGCTTCTACTAGTTGTGACTAATGAATCTGTGCCAAAATGCTTGTTGATAAACATATCTATGTGTGTGTGTGTACATACAGTATAATACGGTTAGCTATTATTTGCACTGAGCATCACTGATGTCTATGACCCACTTAGAACAGAAATGCATTTCAGTTTTGGGTCACGACCAACTGGTTTAGAAGCGCTGACTTGGATGATTGAAGGTCGCAGATGCGTGTGAGGTCAACAGCATCTCTTCATTACCTCGCGGTTGTCTGCGACGATGATCAACTCCACATGCTTGGTGCTGCTCTGGGCGTCTCTTTTATGCTGCAGGGGAAGAAAGACAGAACATGATTAAACTTCGCCCTCTTCCTCTGAAGGACACAGTTAATAGAGGTTTCACTCAAGAACCTTTTATAAAATCTCCCAAGGCCCATTTTGCTAAGAGTCTCTATGGCCTTTAAGGCACAGAGGTGATGTCTTCACCTCTCTTCCAAATGTGCCCTCTATTAACAGATCAGTGTGTGATTGAACATCCTCTTCTGGTTTCAGCATTGCCCGCAAAATACATCTGATCCGCAGCGATGTGCGTTCCAGGAGACTTTCACTTTAACAGCCTTCGGATTGCCAGGCCGTCTCATTTACTCGTGTGAAAGACCCACTCGTCTTTTAAAGATATTATAAATGTCTTCCAAGCAATTCTCACCTACTCATTCGTCGTCATCACTGTTTTCCACATTTTAGAATAAAATTCATCAATACTATGATAAAAAAAGAAGAAAATAATAATAAAAAAAATTAAATGCAAATATAATCAAGTGTGCTTCTTAAAAGTTTGAGTGCTACAGCTGAGGAGAAAAGTCTCAGCTTTTATGTCTATATAACTCTTTAATAGGTCATTCTTTGGTTTTCAACTATTGCTTTCCCACAATACATGTATATGACAACAGCTTGCTTTACAAAAATCTAATAAATATTACAAACCCCCATTAATTCTGCATATAAATGATACATATATACTAGTGGTTGTATAATCTTCATCTGGTAAAGTCTTCATAGCTCAAATATAACCGCTAATTTTCATTTCAACTGGAGTGTAAAAAGGAGGGTGTTATGATTCATGAAAACCAGTGAATCCCCAAGCTGTGAAGTGAACATCTGCTCCAGAATGAGAATATTCAGGCAAATTGGTAAAGCCGGTTAACCAGCTAAACTAGCTAAACACAACCTTAGACCAGCAAAACGCATGGTTTTGGCCGTAGGGATACAATATTAAGATTAATGAATGTGGTAAGAGTGTTCGAGCCATACCAGCGTGTTGACAACCTAAACCAACTAAACATCAGCAGGACTGGAGATCATAAAAACCTGCTTAAACCAGCTTAGACCAGCAAACCGCCCGTGTTGAAGCTATTATTTCTGATTTAGATCCACATGACAAATCAGATCTCTCGTGTCTTTAGGCTGTTTAAACACATGCAACAGGATCCGATCAGTGACCGATGCTTTATTTGAATGAATATTTACAGTATATAGGACAGGACAGACTATCATGAAGGTGACCTTGTCTTCAGCATCCATTCAGCATCACTCCTCTCGCTCTCAATGGAAACTGTCTCTTATTGTTTCCAGTGACTGGTTTTCCTTCAATGGAAATAAAAGGCTGGTCTCATCTGTGTGAGGCTTCATGTTGAGAAGAATTAGGGTCGTAACGCCTAACAGGCTGTTTCACCTGTGCTGCGGATTTGAAGAGAAAAGCTGATAAGCGTCTAATTGAATAAAAAAACACTTGACTTCCACACAGAGACGATATCGCTGCGCCTTGACATCTGATGAAATGCAGGAGCTTAATTCAATGAGTCAATGGTTAAATTCTTTCCAAGAGAGAATAAAACCTGTTTCTGAATCATACATCTCAGAAATGACTCTCCAGTGTGTAAAAAGTCGAGTTTGTATTGAGATTCTGACAGAGAGAATCTGTCAGCCTTTACTCAATGACAACATTCAGACACAATGATCATCTCTGCCACATGAAAACACTTCAGTGGCCATGGCGAGAGACTGGATGTGTCCTTAAAGTGACCAAACAAAGAGTGACCTGTGAGCTTGAACAGGTTTCCTGAACACCCCACCTGTCTGTCATTGGTCAGGCAAACTGATAGTCCCGCCCCAAACTGACATCATTGGCTCAGTCAATGTTACTGTGTTGGGATGCTTGAGAAACCAACTTTAAAAGCAACCCATTTTATTTAGGAAATGTGAGATATTTCAAAAAAAATAAATAAAATACAATAAAAATGTTTTATAAATAAAATAAAATAAATACAATAAAAATGTTTTATAAATAAAATAAAATACAATACAATACAATACAAATGTTTTATAAATAAATAAAATACAATACAAATGTTTTATGAACAAAATAAAAATAAAAATAAATGTGGCTGGATAGTGCAAGTCAAGTGTGCAGTAAACTTTATATATATAGACCTAAAACTGAAGAGAAGTCTTTCAATGGTCATAACTATTTAAATGGTCATTCTTTGGCCTGTCATTGGTCAAGCAAAAAGAGCAGGTAAAGGTAAAGTTACCTCCAGTTACCAAGGTGTTGCTAAGCAGTTGCTAATGTGTTTTTATTTGATATGTTATGACGTCCTCCTACATGTTTATAATATTCTCGTGTCCCTCTTTTAATCATGATGGGTAAAAAGCACAACAACCCTACATTGTTTAAAGCTAAATATTCAGCATTATTCAGAAATATGTCACATTAGAGAATATGTTTCTACATGTAAAGAATGACTATTTGAAGGTTCGTCGTTTGGTTTTACTCACCCTTCTGCTGTGAGAACTGAAGACGGCTCCTGTAGGGTTTGGGTATGAAATATTGTGACCGTGTCCGCAGGTTCCCTGGGTGAATTTAAGATGTTCTCCTCTGTAAAGACGATGAGTGTTTCCCTCCTGCATGGGCTCCAGTACATATACTTTATGTTCAAGTGAAATCAGTCCCCTGTAGAACGAGGCATTCAACACCATTCAGTTAACATTTGAATTTGTTCATATTACGATTATACATGCATCATGTAAACGTAACAAGAAGTAACCAGAATTAACAATTACATACAGAGCAAGTATGTCTCAGTGTATTTGGAATATGAGCAACTTGACATGCAGCTTTATATTTTCATAATTTGGTTTGACAGTCAATTGTATCTACAACAATTCATATTTGTTAGCAATTTCAAGTAAAATGTGTAAATCGTCCTGTGATAAGATTGTCTCACCATGAACAGTGAAATATAGAAATATGTGTCAAAATAGAGATAAATAATATTTAAATATATTGAATTTATCTATTTGGGGTCTGATTTATTGTCTGGAGTGGACTATGTACATATTGCCCCCCAAAAATATTTTGTCACAAATGATAAAATGTCACACACTCCATTTCTAAATCAGCATCTCTTGGAAATAAAGTAAATACAACATTTTCAAGCTTTTAAATTAGAAAGCAGGACTATTACAGGATTTTACCGAATGAAATTTGTGACATTTTTGTGGAACTACTTTTATCAAATTCTATTATAATTACAGTGCTTTTAGTGTGACCTCTTATTAAGTCAGAGACCATGCAGAATATTTGCATTTATTTGAACAGCACTTTTCCCCAGTCTTACCAAAAATGTGTTCAGATGCACTCATATTTTATGATTATTCAGAACTACATACAGAAAGACACAGAAAAGAAGCGAGAGAAGAAGCTTTTACAATAATAACACAAAATGGCGAATAAATGTGAGAAAAACTCTTCTATGAGAGGAAGTGATTTCTCGTTTTCCCACAATATCAGACAGCGTGACGTTTTGGAAAGCGGCTTAGTTCAGCATCCAAGCCACTGTTGGTCAGCAGACGGTCCATTTTGTACAATATTTGGCTAAATAAATCTTCCCCCGAGCTCTAATATTACCGCTCTGTGGTTTTTGGATTCGCATCCGCAAACCTTTCTCACACTTTCAAGTCGTACGCTGAATTTAAGTGACATTCTCCTCTGCTGGGAAACGGCCAGTGCTTTGGGCTTTTCCAGAAGTTTTAAAACTACATTCCCCACTGCACGAGATCCCTGTGGAAACCCCACTCGCCAAAAAAATCAGCAGCAATTTGTTTTGGCCCGAGTGGCGAGCGACTTCGTTTCAGTCGGAGGAGACCTTCACATGTGTGTGTGAGTGTATGAGAGAGAGACAGGTTATGCAGCACAAAGACTGAGTCAAGGTGAAATAAAGAGCTGAACAATAAGCGCTGTGGCTCTGGGGACGGAGATATGTTTGACGCTTTATCACACTCATAAATCCTGCATGTCCAGGCTGCTCTCATTCTCCCTAGGTTGAAGTGTGAAAATCAGCTTTATGCATCTCTTGTGGCACATGATCAGTTCATATAAAGTTATTACGGTGATGCTCTGACAGAAACTATTACGGGACAACTTTCCTCCTTTATAGCTGAATCAGATCTGTTTCATAATAACTCTGCAACATTGACACAGTTATTGAACGGAAGTGAATCAACACTGATCTGACTTGAGCTAAATAATGACTATTGTCTCTGTATAGCTGCTTTACAGCAGAATTTTAATTTGTCTCATATTTGATGAAGTTTGCATCATTTTTTCCCTGTTGATCACTGTGAAGTTTTCACTTGTGAAACTACCTGAATGTCCCTTCTCCAGTAATGAAGGCAAACCTAAGCGTCCACTAGAGTGCTTGTTCATAATTAAAACGGGAACCGTAAAGTGTCTCTGGAGGATGGCCAACTTCACACGTCGTTATTACAATGCCCTTTCCTCGGGCCATTCTTGACTTTAGTCCCTAAGCTCAGTGCATCATGGGAAGGCTGTGAGGTGAAGTTAATGTACAAATTGTCCCATATAAGAAGGGCGTGACCAGTAACTCACCTGAGTCCTGTACAGGTGCTGAGGCTGACCTCTGACCCCAGTTGTCCCTCCACCTCGCCATGATAATAGCAGTGAATCTAATAAAAAAAAAAAAATGTTTTATTTAATTACTGTTGGACAACACAGTAGTTTAAAAAGGAATGTTTTATAATAAAACAAATCTGAAGCAATGACGAAACCAAAACCATTCCCTTTTAAACTGCTGGCTATGTAATAATGGCAATGCCATAGCCAATTGTGAAATAATAGTCAGAAACAGTTTACTGAACCTTTCGACAAAATATATATTAAAAAAAATATGTAAAAAAAAAAGTTTGCATATGTATTTTATTTATGACACATCATGCTTTTATGGCTTATATTATGATATTATATATTGATAAGATGGCTTGAAAGGAGGGAACAAAACACTGTCACCTTATTTTTATTCAGAGGCCCAAACTGAGCAAAAATTTTGAATTTAGTGCAGTTGCTGATATTTATATGGACAAAATATGAAATGTTTATGCTTGTAATGTAAATTCAATGAGATCTATAGCAGACTACTTACGTATATATAAATTGCTTAAAAATATCAGTCGTCGCGCTATATCTTCCAATAATATGTCTTAGTAAGATGATATTTAAATGCTTAGTTTTATGGTCAGCTAGTTTTTATTGTGTTGGGCAAAACATGCAATGCAATACAATGATGATTGAGAGATGAATAAATAAATGTTCCTCTAAACTTGTGTTTCATATATGATACTCACATTTGAACATGATTTTTCTAAAAAATGATACATGGATAATCAATTAAACCTTTGTTTTGAAACATTGCTAACAATATAAAAAATTTTATTAGGTTCACTTTATAAAAATCTGTAAATATTTCACAGCAAAAAAAAGACGTGAAGCACGAGCTGAAGGCGGACGTTTATACTAAAAACCCTTTTGCTTTCTAAAAAAGTATAAACTATCAATCAGATGACAGAAGGCATGTAGAAGATTGTGCCTTAGAACTGAGTTTTGATCACAATGATCATTTAGATGCATCTCAAAATATTGATACAGTATGCTTTATACTACTGTGACAACATGCCCCATTATACAGTATGTGTGTTAGATGACCAACTTTTTCAGCTGCTATATTTCTCATTCGTTTTCTCAAAAGACAAGACAAAAAAGCCATGAACCAAACCATTCAGATCTGAGAAAAATATTGAAAACAACCTGAAGAAAAACAAAACAAAAAACTGATTACTTTCATTCTTTTATGAAGGAATGTGCTGCAATCAGATGAAACACTGCGAATGACATAATCAAATCAGATTAAAGCATGTTGTTGAGTGATAACTCTTGACCATATGTAAGGGTTAAACCAGAGCGCTTGGACGTGCTTCACACACCGAATGTGCATTTCAGGGATTCGCCCGATTAGAATGCGACTGTCATCCCTAAAGCTTTGACGTGTGTGTGTACGCAGCGAGAGGCACTTCAGGGTGAAGTAGTTTTGTCTGAGGAAATGAGCCGCACTTGTCTGGTTTGGATTGGGAACGGAGCTGGCACAGATTCCCAGAGCTTCATCCCTCTGAAAGCTCCTGTTCTCAAGAAATACTGTCCTGGTTCCAGCCGTGGAATGATTTTACTCTTCCTTTTAAAAAAAAGACATTTCCATTTTTAGCCCTTTCCTGTTAAAACGTGTTTTAGACTTTATCCAGTAACCACAGTGTAAAAACATCACAAAAACAGCAAATAAAGCAATGTTACAGTGATTTCACCCAGGGTGTCGTTGGGCATGGTGCAAAGATTTTATAAAACAGTGAAGCAGAAGAAATTTGATAAAAAATAAAATGACTCAAAATAATAAACAGCTCCACCATTTAACATAGTGCATTAGCATGAATAAACTCTTTGCTCAAATGCTAATAGTGATAATGGCAATTTAACAAAAAACGAATGCTGAGCAAATAGCTAAAGTTAGATTACTTTCATGGTTACCAATCAATCAAAACAGCAGCATGCAATTAATATACAGCTTCTGCACTGGAATATGCTCATCCAATCAGATTTCAGAGCGCGAACTGTCTGTTTTATAATGCTCATTTTAGTACACCAGTGACATCGGGGTTATTTTAACAGCATGACCTGGTGTAAACTACAGTCCTCAATATATCTTTGAGTCTCAGTCAAAGTAACACGAGGGAATTCATCCCAGCACACACTGCCCTGAGCCACGGTGTCTGTCAGATTATTGTTTCCTGAGAGCCGTCAGGCAAAAAACACATTCCACTTCCATTAAAAAAGAAAACACACAGAGCCACAGACCTGCCAGCTGCATGAAAAGCATAACTCTGTAAGTATACTGAACGAAAAAATGAATGTTGAACACTGTGGATTTGCATCATTGTTTGCGTGTTACTCTAAAAAATTAACTCACAGCAACTTTAAATAAGGAATTGGTTTATAATTGCTAATGATAAATATAATAAATTGCATGAATTTTACCTTTGGCAGAAGCTGGCACTGAAAGCACTCTACTCTCTACTCTACTGAATACATATACTGTAGTTTATCATGTCAATGTCAATGATGTAAAGGGTAACAGATGGTCAGTCTCAGGTCCAGTGTTAAATCACTCGGTCACTTCATACTGTGGGCCACAGCTGAGATATGATGAGTGAGATCAAACTAAACCTCCATTTAACTCCAAAGTCTTCATTTTTACCATTTTTATTTTTATCCATTTCCTATGGTATTCAATATAATTCGGTTACACTTTTATTTTAAGGTGTCAGTGTTACAGTGTAACTATGCATCTAAGTACTGAGTAATAATAATGATCTACATGTACATGTAGTAGGCTACATGTAGTATTAAAGTAACACTAAGTAGTTTTTCAACCTTCATAATATATTTCCAAGACCCTTGTGATGGTACATCGACTTAAAATAAGTTAAATGACACGTCTGCCATAGCCTAACGTGGTCTGTATCGCTTTTACTCGCACTATGTAACTTCGGGTTTCGGGTAGGAACCCGTGCACAAAAAGAACTACAAAATTCGACTGCTTTACGGCATACGTCACTTCCCCCACCACTTCCTCAAATTGCCTGTGGCCATTGCAGACATCCCAAGTCTCCCGGGAGTCTCCCGCATATTGATAGCATTTCCTTGATGCCCGCAAATTAGGTCAAATCTGCCGGAATCTAGAGCGCGCATGCGAGACAGAACATACTGCGCGCATAACATACATAGCGCGAGCATGGCAGAGAGGGAGAGTGAGAGACCTTGCGAGTGTGCCTCACGAAAGCTAGTCAACCCGCTAGTAAACAGCGAGCGTGCGCGTGCGACAGTCGGCTGCGGAAGGCTAAATTATTTACGACAGCAGTAATGGACAATTCTGCTTCCAACCTGTAGGGCGACCGCTGAGGAAAAGTTACTTGGTGTGACTTTAAAGGGGTGGTTCAGAATTTTGGACATCGGGCCTCATTTCCAAGTTAGCCTTAGTGTTATTTATCAGTGGAGACAGTTTTCAAAAAATTTCATCCAGTCGTTCCAGTTGCATAGTTCGCCGGTGCTAGGCTAGCGCGAGTCAACGGTAACTGCTAGCCTGCCATTAAAAACAGTTTTACCCACTCCACAGTACACCAAAAGCAAATTAATCATAACGTCAGACTATCGATGTAAATGTCTGTTAAGAGAATAATGTTAAAAATCAAACTACTCTTGCATCTCAATGATCGCAATACATTTACAGGAACTAGTTTCTCAGCAGCGGTGGAATTTTACTTTGCTCCGGTTAGTAGTACCGCGCCGAAAAGTAAACACAGAACCGAAGCGCACTACAGTCGGGACTACCTGCACTACCTCTCTCTCTCACTACCTCTCTCGGTTGCCTAGGTAACTACATATCACTCCGCCGCTGCTGTAGACTGTGCTAATAAATACAGGGAACAAAGTATAACTATTGCAATGCAATGCAAGAGTAGTTTGATTTCTAACACTATTCTCTCAACAGACATTTACATCGATAGTCTGGCGTTATGATTTATTTGCTTTTGGTGTACTGTGGAGTGGGTAAAACTGTTTTTAATGGCAGGCTAGCAGTTACCGTTGACTCGCGCTAGCCTAGCACCGGCGAACTATGCAACTGGAACGACTGGATGAAAATTTTTGAAAACTGTCTCCACTGATAAATAACACCCAGGCTAACTTAGAAATGAGGCCCGATGTCCAAAATTCTGAACCACCCCTTTAAGTACATGTGTTAGAGTTAGGATTGGGGTTTGGTTTAGGGTTAGTTGCATGTAATTATGCAAAATGTATGAGTTATTACAACAGTAACTACATGCAACGTGTAACAAGGACACTGTAAAATAAAGTGTTACCTATAACTCTAAAAATATATATATATATTATTTGTATTATTATTATTATTAATACCAATAACAGCAACCATTATCAGTTTAACATTATTAAAAGTCTATTTTTTTATGAATATTTCCATTTGCCATTTCTTTATGTAAGCTATTTGTAATCTAAAGTTGACTTTAGATTACAAATAGACTTTAGTTGACTTTAGACTTTAGAGTTCGCTAACTCCAGAAGAACAAGTATTGCACATGCACTTTCAGTGTTTAGCAGATGAAAACTCATCTCAAGAGTCACGACCTAAAATGAGTTTGACACTCCTGTTCTAAGTCGTTCTTAATCACGTAATATCTGTGATTAAAGCGTTGCTCGCGTGTTGGGCAGCGTCCGGCTGGAGCTACAGGAGTCCATGAGTGAGTCCAAACGGGCCTCAGAGGAGTTCTGCTTGAGGATGAAATAATGGCACCGCACATACAACCATAAAACAGACTTAATGAAAGGCAGAGGAGGTCTGGGAGAACAGACACACACTGACACACACATGAAGTCTTTCTGGAACAGAACACGAGCCCATAACTCCCTACACCCTGAGTGAATACACTCCATCTGGCCCAGCGGCCCTGGATCCCATCAGATCAGCACAATTCATCCAGATTACAGTACAAAACATGCCGTTCTGTTGCCTGGTGCACAAATGTTTGGACAGAGCAAATTAGTCAATCACTATAGAATTCGATCAGCGCTGTTAAACTTTGTTTTAGGGCTGCGCAAATATGATATATCATGCAACGGTAGAAATAAGTCAAGCACAGTTTGTGTGATGTATTTGCACGTTATTTACACACAAAAATTATGAAACATAATGTGAAAATGCAGAGATGGATGGATGGATTTGTAGAAAGGTATACATTTTTATAAGAAATGTAACTTTCTTCTGAACAACCCAAACCCAAAACCTAGACAATACAACTCAAATTTGTTTATGAGTAAGTGTGTGTGTGTGTGTGTGTGTGTGTGTGTGTGTGTGTGTGTGTGTGTGTGTGTGTGTGTGTGTGTGTGTGTGACATCAATCTCTGCACTCAGGTTGACAGAGCATTTGTCTTGTTTTGTTCTGTTCCTCCCAAATCAGTTTGTGAAGTCCAAATTCAGCACTTCTCCCCCTGACGACACCCGGGTCGAGAAGTGCTGCTGTTTCTGGGTGACCTGCAACTCTTGTTTCCCAGCAAAACAAAGCAGGACACATATTGCCTCACACTGTTGAGAAAATCTACGGAACAAGCTGAAATAGTCACAATGGTTTGTGAAATCTCACCATACGGTGTTGTGAAACACTATATCTAGTGTTTAACAGACCCTTAGCATGATGGGAATATTGCCTTTTCTTTCTTTCTTTCTTTCTTTCTTTCTTTCTTTCTTTCTTTCTTTCTTTCTTTCTTTCTTTCTTTCTTTCTTTCTTTCTTTCTTTTACATTTCAATGGCTTTAGACTGTTGCTATGCTGTTGCTAGGGTGGTCTGTGGGGTATATTATTGCAATAGTAATAATACAATTGTGTTGCCTACTTTCTTTCCTTTTTCTTTTTTGTAGGATTTCTGATAGCATGCGTTTTCTTTTCATGAAGTGTTTTGGCTCTAACAGTCTGGCGGGGAAACTGTCGGCCCGCTGGAGAGCAGATCGAGGATGACGGGGTCAGTGATTCAGAGGTTCTCCTCAGAGGTTTGGACTTACATGCCTTCAGGGCTCAAAGTGTCTGTTGCGCTGACTAGTAATCTGAGCTGCAATCTAAACGCTTAAAACACACAGAGGTGCATCATGGGTGGTTCCTGCTCTCCTGGTGGCCCTCGTTTGACCGCCTCTCCTCTAAAGCTGTTGACACAAGATCATCCGGCAGTCGCTGAGGGCGGAGATCAGTGATACTATGGGATCTTAACTGCAGGTCTGGTTTAAAAGAAGGTCTGATGCTGCCTTAAAATTGGATGCAAAGCATGCAAAGAACATTTAGCATACTTCCTACATTGGTAGCTTGTTAGGTTTAGTAACAGACCCTGCATTTTTGTAAGGGAACGTCTCACAAACACCAGTTCCTCCTGATTCAGCTCCACAGACGAACCAAGAGTTTTCTGACAAACCATCAACTGAAATGAAACACTTTCCCAAGGAGAATAACAAGGGCTTGTTTCGGGAAGTGCACATGGCCATGTGTTCGGTAGGCGTAGGGTTTAATCTGGAAGGAAACAGTGGTCGCTTGTTATCTTACCGTCACATTCGGTGAGGTGGTGACGGCACTTCCATCCTCCAGGTAGTGTGTTTCTGTGTAGTGACTAGCAAACAACCCTCTGCAAAACAAACACACAAACAAGTTACATTCACTCATTTCCTCATGCAAGTCATCAAAATTAAGTATTTATTTTCTTGGTTTCATGTTCCTGGTCTTACTGTGAACAATGCATTGCACTTGCTCATCAGCTGACATCACTAAAATGAAGTCCCGCCCACTTTCACTCAGAAATGTGTCACATTGTGAAAGTAAGACGAGTTGAGTTGAGTTGAGTTGAAAATGTTGTAGTGTGAAACCAAGAATCTGAATCCTCCTTTTTTTCCCGTATAATCCGATCAGAAGCAAATGAACACGGTTTAAAGACGGGCTACAGAGATCCCCTCACCATGTGAAAGGATGCCCTAATTCTCTCTCTTCCTCTCTCGCCTGCTGAGATAATGTTCTGATCAGACCATTACTAACATCTGCACTCGATCGGCCCTCATGCAGCTGTGCTTTCCTAGCCAGAACTGCCCGAGAGAAAGTGACAAACTCATGAAGACGATTACAGCACTGCTGAGTCAGAGAACAACAACCTCCCTGAAAAACACACAGACTTCTCACAGTAGAAAGTCTGGTTCACTTCATTATCCTAGTCAACATTTCCAGGAATAGACCGTCTATGTTTGGGGAGGGTTAACCTAAAATCGATGACACCACACTAAAAATCTGTTCAGTTTGAATGTTAAAATGTGAAAGTCATTCTGATTACTGCATACTGCACATTACACACTAGTTTTCAACTTCCAGGAGAAATTTGTTGTTGATCTCTTCTCGCCCAACTAAAGCGAATTAGATGATCTTAAAGCCGACTCCGTGTGGAGGAAATCAATGAAAACCTTGCAGTGAATTTACAACGAAAGATGAATGTTTTCCAGATACACTTTAAGTTAAAATAGCTTTTAGTATCTGAAAACCCATCAAGGTTCATGGAAACATTTGCTGTGCTGCACCTTCAAAGAACTAGAAAATGAATTTAATTGATTTTTTTTTTAAAAGATTAGACAGATCCTATTATTGAATGTAAATGTCTAATGCATTGTTCTGACAGCAGGAAAATTACTTTCTGATTAATGTTTATTATAATACCGATATTTCCTATCCTGGATCGGGTCCAGAATGCTGATTGGTCATTACATTACATCTGTGCTTAGAGTATCATTAAAAAGTTTGGGGTTGGTAAGATGTTTAATTTTTTTTTTTTTTTTTTTGAAAGAAGTCGCTTATGCTTACTATTCATTTGATGAAAAATACAGTAAACACAGTAATAATGTGAAATAGTATTACAATTTAAAATAACCGTTTTCTATTTGAACATGTTAAAATGTAATGTATTCCTATGAATTTTCAGCATCATTACTCCAGTCTTCAGTGTCACATGATCCTTCAGAAATCACTCTAATATGATGATTTGAAACATTTCTGATTGTTATCAATGTTGAAAACTGTTGTGCTGCTTTATATTTGTGTGAAAACCATGATACATTTTTTCAGGAATATTTGATGAAGAGAAAGTTCAAAAGAACAGCATTTACTTGAAATACAATTCTTTTGAAACATTATAAATGTCTTTGCTGTCACTTCTATTATATTTAATGCATCTTTGCTGCATAAAATCTATTAATAAAAACATAAATAAATCTTACTAACCCAAACTTTTGAGTCCACTTGATTTATCTGTGCAATCAGATACCAATCATTAACTTCAGTTTAAGGAATAAGTCAAGGAATATTTTATCTTCTTAATGAATTTCCTCATGTCTGAATCATGTTATGCATTTTGTATTATGCATTTTTTAAAAGCAATAAGACACTTGAGGACTAGGAAAGTGAATATAGGAGTTTTAAGGGGTTGCAGGAACTCAGCCGTGACTCTATTCACACGGCGGCCCGACCTCTTGTCCCTTATCGCTTAATTATAATGGAAGGATGTTTAATTGGTCTCACCCCGCACTGTTCACGGCTTAGGACTGTTTCACATAGTAAATGAGATCAACAACACATGTAACTACAAAACAGCATTTGGCAGTGGTGTCTAAAAAACCAGGAAGAGACGAGATGTCTTAAAATCTGCCATGCGATCACAGATGTTCTGACAGATGTTGCTCTTCTGATCACAGATGCATGAAGCATTTACAAGCACAAAGTCTTGAAGAAGCAGCAAACCGCTCTGAGGTCCGAACCGCGGCCATACTGATTCCCTCAGGTGGGGTTTGGAGGCATAAGGTTGAGGCAGGAGGGTCACCTCAACATATGCTTGATCATCCACAGACGCTGGAGACTGTAAAGGCCAAAATAGGATTTATCCTTTTCTTTTCAAGTGCTAATTTGAGTTTTAGCTTAGTAACAAATATTTACAAATCATGAACTCTGCTCAGGGTTCAACTTCCATGACTTTTCTATGACTTTTCCAGCCGTTTGTAATGGTTTTTAAAAGGATTTTATAGAGAATGCACTCACAAAGAACAAAAAAATATAGCATGGAATTATAGAAAATCACTATTTTTAACATTTTCAATGACCGTTGGATTCTGCAGTGCATTACCATTAAAAGGAACATCTAATACCTTCCATAAACTACTAAACAAAAAACTTTGAATATCGAATCAATCAATAATGTTTTTCAACCATAAAACTAAAGAGGCCAATGATGTGTGTGTGCACTTCATAATGGAAGATTTATTCATTTAGCAGATGCATTTATTCAAATCAGCTTACAAATGAGGAAACTATTAACTCATTAATCATTAGGAAAACTTTGAAAAGAAACTTCCATAATCATGCAGCGAGAGAAATACTAAATGTATTCTGCATTTACAAATGAAACGTAGTTGTAGTCCCTCTATAGCAGACAATAGTTTTACAGTCGCCTACCAGACCCAAAAATGAACTCTCTTGAAATATAGTCATATGGACCACGACCACTTTTATGTTACTCTTGTGACATTGTGGGGAGCTTTCAGTGTTTGCACACCACTGAATTTTTATTTTTGGATGAACTTAAACTACTACATCACATCATCCCGCCACTACTAAGTGAGATCCATCCCATTATATCTCATTAGATCATCATATGGCATCATTACCATGTCCTTGAGAAGATCTAGTTCCAGCACAACAAACATTCAGTCATGAAACTGGCTCAAAGAGAAGTTAAAATGACAAACAATCAACAAAGTATTATGTTTCTGTGGCCATTTTCTAATTTGTTCTTCAATTATTCACACAAGCAGAGACCAAGCAGAGCGAAAGATTACCATGTAGAAAAAAAGAGAAATAATTCTAGCTTTCATGCTGTGGAAAGACGACTGCAGCAAAGCCACAAGCAGAAAGAAACTAATCAAATCATCAGTCACTAGGGGAAAAAGACACAGCAGGGCGCTGTTGTTTCCCCTGGTCACTTAATGCTTTGTGTTCTCGCAAGATAGAAAACTAGAAAGGGACACGACAGGAGTGGACAGAATAAAAACAACGAAAGAGATTTCTCTTCCAAGCATAGAAATTAAAGGAACAGTTCACCCCGATATGAAAATGCTGTCATTTTTTTTACACACACTCATGTCATTTAAACCTGAATTATGTTCATCTTTTTCTTCTTCAACACTTCATAGTCATTGCATTTGTCAAGCTCCAAAACGGACAAATAAATCTTTATTCACTGATAATCTTGAAGCTTAAAAAGTTTTGCCTGAATTCACAACCACACACACACACACACACAAAAAAACATTTAAAAAGCATTATTTATTATTTAGCAATTATTTTGTAAATAGTAATGTTTTTTTAATTATTTAATTTTGTTTTAGTAATTATATATATATATATAATTTGGTATGATTAATTAGAATTATGGTAGCTTGTTTCCACCACAAAATAAAAAAAAACGACTTTTTATCTAACAATTCTGACTTTTTTTTTGTAATTCTCATTATGCATGATATAAGTCAGTCTTTTGCCCTCAGAATTGGACTCCATAACTCACAATTGCGAACTGAAAAAAAGTCAGAATAACCTTTTAATTTTTTTTATTCCGTGCCGGAAACAAGCTTCCATAATATTCATATGCTATGTAAAGACTCTTATAGAAAAAGTCTTCTGTAAAAAAAGAAAACAACATGAATGTCAGGTTGGAACAAGATGAGGGTGGATCTTACAGAATCAGCTATTACTTTAACACGCCCCCCTGGCAGCTTTAAATGAAGAGCAAACAAACTGGAGCACATCAGCCTAAGTTTATTTACATGTGCATCCTGATGTGGAGTAACAGAGACACACACACATCCAGACTGGAAGCCCGCCATTCGCTAGAGAAAGAAAGATAGACAAAAGAGAGGGGAACAAATGACAAGGGGGGGGGGGGGGGGTTGGATGGGGACAGAGTTACAGCTCAAATTACTTTCCAGTTCTTGGCTGACTAAATGTGAATTCAGCTACAAATGAACTCGTGCCCATCCTGTCAAGGACAACACACAGTTTTTTCATGCTACTTAGGAGAAATCAGGTCACGACTCGTTCAGAGCGTTTCCTCTTGCACAGAAATGAGTTCCTCTTTATCATCTTACACATCTGGAGTGTCCTCTTATCTGATAATTGGAAGATGGATAAGTAATACAGAGTCTCTATTAAATACCTCTGTTTAGCAAATGAATAATACCTCAAATCATGCGGCTGGTTGGGAAGAGGTGTGCTGTTACTTTTATAAGTAATCAGACTTAAAATTCTGCCAGGAGAAAGATAAAAAAAAAAATCCCCACAGACTTTTAATATAGACCATAATATCCCGGAGACTTGGGGCTTTTTGACTTGGGCCAATAAGAAAACACACACATGATGGGTTTCCATGTCTTATGGGGACTTACCATTGACATAATGATATTTATACTATACAAACTGTATATTCTATCCTCTAATCCTCGATCACAAGGACACACACACACACACACACACGCAGAGAATATTATCAGAGTAACCACATGGCAACACCCTAGCGATTACCCACATCACCAACATGCTTGAGCT